ATACAATTGAGTTCTAAATTTCAGCATGAATCAATATAATAGCTTCGGTATGTCGTTATGAATATATCAAACGAATATATGCATAAAGGGAATTTGTCAAATTGTTAAAAAGTTCATAACAAAATATATTTCTAGCTGCAATACTAAATAAGTAAAGATAGAATATTTTTCTGCTAGTTGATTATCTTTGAAGATAAACTCTTAAGTTTATGTGTCTCGTATTAGTAAAATGAACCTAAAGAAGATAGCTCATGATGCATTGAGTTCACCACAATTTTACCTTACATCTTTCAAGATTCAAATGCATAGTTGATTTTTTTTCTCTTTGCTAAATATTTGCTTTTTCAAATAGGCTCATATAGAAATTGTATTCATTATTCCTTTCTCGTGATAAAATTCTTTTCTACCAAATTCCTGATCAACTAGAAAATTTAACATAAATTGGCAATAACTATTTGACATCAATGGTTATTTAATCGACTATGAAGTCAAATGGTATTAAAATGAATAACACACAATCGAATTTCATTGATAGTTCAATAATTGAAATCGAACCTAATTTAAAAACATACAAAAAAATAAATAATTTATTAGCAAAAATTAGAAAATGTTTTGATTGAAAATGTTCTGTAGCAACAAAATTTCCACCTAGTTATACTAGTAGAAAAAAAATATTTTATGATATATTGTTTAAATCCAAATGAGAAGTTATTATTTACAATAGGCAAAATATTCAAGTAAATGAGAAAATAATTTTCTTAAAACTAAAAGAAAAAATTTCAATTAAATATTTTCTAGTCTTTTCATAATAGACTTTATCAAATACAAACGTTAGTTGACCATCGATACCATTTTCGTAGAATAGATGCTTTCAACATAACACGGTTTTCAGTCAAAAAGTAGATTACAAGGTAACATCTAGGTAACGATTCCAACGTTTAGGTTCGAATTATAATAGTGAAAATGTAAAAATTGAAATGAAATTTCTAAGTTCATATTTGGCAAGAGTGTCTCGTTGGAAATCCTTTCTAGTAGGACAAAAATGAACAAACATGTCGTATAAAAACTTTCCAATCACACTTGACCACTTAAGATATATAAAATAGATATCTTATATAGTTTTTCAATCGTGTATATCTTATAATTCTGACAAATAGCTTTTTTCCTATGCAAATCTTAATATTTTTACTGGGATTTGTAGTTTTTGGTTTTAATGAAGTTTTTAAATTCTTGAATGCTGTTGCTGAGGACAAAAGTGACCAATCCTATAACATTCCATAACTGGTATATGGCTGACTAGAATATTACTACTTGATACGTCACGAGTTGCTCTAGAAAATGGTATAGATGATTTTATCTATTGAACGTTTGTTATCTGTTCTGACAAAGTTCTTTTAAATGAAATATTCTCGTCTGTTACAACCAATGAATAGAATTCAATCATTAAAAACAGAATTATTATTTAATAATTTCTCATCAGCAAATATTGGAATTGATTCAATAAATAGAGCATTTGCCAGAATTCGTTGTGATTCCTTAGATTCTATTGATAAAGAATATCCATATAGTCAATCGGTTATATTTGTAACAGACGAAAGTAGTATGTAATCAAGATTTATTTTTTCTTTGTCTTGTTTTATGATATAATTTTTTTCTAGTTTCTTCAAAATCAACAGAAGTTTTCTTTCCTGCTGTTGATTATTGATCTGCACGAATGATACGGCAACCGCTAACGTAATTAAATGAAATTCTAACTTGTGTAACAAACTCGACTCGAGCTGGAAGTTAGTTCATATTTGTAAGAAAATTGTCAACGATGCTAGCTCTCAAGACCCAAAAGCTCATCACTTATAGTATTATATGAAAGGATAATAGTCTAAGTTAAATGATTGTTTATATGAATTTTTGTAAATGACTAATTTAGCTGTATTTAATTCCACCGTTGATTTATTTAAATATATAAAAAAAAATGATTTTCATTTAGAATATGAAATTTTATTCATTTACATGGATCTGAAAAAAACAACATTAAAGGTTTTTTTTCATTCTTTGTGGAAAAACTTGAGTAATCATTTATTAATAATAGAAAAACAAGGCAGACAGTAAAAACTCTTATCTACTAGGAAAAAAAGAAAATTTTAAGATCGATCGGTTGCTTCATATCCATCAATAATAATTACATGTGAACAAGAACAAACAATATGATAGAAACCCTATGATCGAATTAATAAATCTGATGAATGAATAACAATACTACTTATTCAAAAGTAAAACCAACTCCTTAATTTTAAATTGTTTTTCTAAAGAAAATCACTCCTCTTTCAGTTTAGTAGCAAAGAACTTTTCAATTGTAGGACTTTCATCTACTAATCCCATGTATCGACGAAGCATTTTGAGAGAATATTTCTTAATTTTTGAAGTCAAAAGTATTTTCACAGGAATCGAACGATAAGAGCTCGCTCCTTAGGTATTTTTGTGAGTGCAATAAAAATAATAATATCGACGAAAACAAAAATTGATTTTTGACAGAAAATAAGTCATGTCTACTGGTAATGTTTGTTCAGATTGAATCATATATGTATATTTTATTTACTACTATCAATATTCAGCTGAAAAATTGATTATATATCAGTAAATCAATCATGTGAAATCGAAATTTATCTTCAAGTAAACGTATTGAAGTGATTTTTATTTTCAATTTTTTTTCTTAATAAAGGATTTTGTTTCAATTGATAAAAATACTCGTTTAAAAGTTCCAACTGGCTATTAGTGATTTAATTTCAACAGAAATATTCATTCGATGGAATAGAAATCAAATTTTATGAAAACTTTTTAATTTTCTGTACAGTTATTTGACTTTGTCTTAACGAGTTTTCATATAATGACAGTACAGTCGTATTCAACAGACTTGCTGATCTTGTGTTTCCAAGGTAACGAATATGTTCATTTGAATAATGCACTCTAATCAATTTTCAAAAGTCGTACGAAAAAATAATTCTATGATTTGTGATTCATATTAATTGCTTTTGTTTTTTCGATGATGATGATGATGATGAATAGAAATTTATTCTGATCCAAAAAAAAGAAAGAAAAGAATATGTATTGTCCATGAAGGACTGTATATGAACAAAGGACAAGTATTCACATCCATGCACATGAAAAACGATGAAATTAACTCGTATCTCATCATTTCAATTAATCATGTGATGATTAATCAATTCTATTTGAATGTGCACATCATCGTCAATTATCGTTCGTCAAATTGATATCAACATCATTAGAATGTCTTTGATGGGTAATGTGTATGTTTGAACAAATATATAAGAAACACATTTTCACCAGCATTCTCATACGATTCGATCAAACAAATCATGAGCATGCTCAACAAAGATAAAACATGACACTCACATGATTTATTTTTCACGGATTACAATTTTTTATATTACTTACAATAATTAGTATTATTTTACATTATGATTTTTCATGAATGACATTCAGTTATCAATTTATAATTATTTACAATATTATAAATGAAATATATTTACAATGCTACGTATGAGTTTATAATGTATGAAAATGTATACATTTATAATGAAATTTGTTACATAATGTTACGTTAAACCTTTGAATTCCATAGTAAGAAAAAGAAATCTAAACATGTTTAATAATTATTATGTGATCTACTGGAATGTAGCAATAAAGAATGTTCAACGGTGTGGATGTGGTGGGTATCGAGTTAGTAGATATGGGTGCGTAGTTGTGCGCGCGTGAATCCGTATGCAAGCATGTTGGTTTTTATCTGGACGTGTCAGTGTCCAGCAGAAATAATTTGGGACGCAAAGAATTAAAATACATTAATTTCCGATGATATTTATTGATTGATATTATATAATGGTGCATTTTTTTTAGAACGAAGTCTAGGGGTGGGTGTCATTAAAATCCATTGCTGTACAATTCAATAAATGCATTATATTACAATGAAATTTATCAATTTCATAATGTATTAAAATGTTTTGATTTACAATGAAACTTATTGTATGATATTGTGTTAAAATTCATTAATTTACAATGATATTCATTGAATCATATTATATTAAAATGTATTATTTTAGAATGAAATTTATTGAATGATGTTATTTAAATTCATTGCTTTACAATGCATTAATTTATAATGAAATTCATTCATTCATTCATTCAATGATGTTATATTATGATTCATATTTTTTTACAATGTTTTTGATTTCAATGATAATATATGTTAGGATATATTGATTTATGATAGAAATTTATTCTATGATGTTTTTAAAATTCATCTGTTTGTTTTTATGAATTATATGAAATTATAAAAAACATGAGAATGTTAAAAAAGAATATGGTTTATTATTGATTTATACCAATAACAAGATTGGGTATGTTGCTTCAAAAATGATCTTATTTATCTTGAGAAAGACTTGAACAAATAAATTAATAGTTGAAAGATAAAAAAAAAACTTTTTTTTTTGTTTTCTTGAAAGAACAATTCTAAATTGAATTTTCATAACAATACTTACATTGAGATAATATTAGAATGAGATATAGATGATTTATTTCGGATGAAATAATTTTTTTCTTCGTTGTTGTACACATTTAGTGTATACTATTATTATTATGCTAAGTCTATATTATTTATGTTAGAAGATAGATGTCAATTTATATCACAGCCTTGTCAGGTGGCTTCGTAACCTGATCCAGAGAGAGATTCTATTCGTCATGGAATGGCGAAAGCAGTGTAGTGCTCGGGAAGGCCTTTAATGTACGTAGGTCCCTGCCGTCATTATGTACGGTACACCTATGTACATTGCCCTACCAGTCCGGCGTGGTCCGCTCTGTGTGTACCCATTTCATACGTATAGGGCCTCTCCCTGGTCGCGCGCGCGCGTACGCGTGAAAATGAGCCTAGAAAAGTAAGGAAGTGAAAAGGAATCAAAACCAATTTATTGAGCAAGTAAACGAAAAAAAAATTACATTTTCTTTCGAATTTTTTCAAATGTTTCTTTATATTCCAAAAGATGAGGATGAGTTGAAGGTAATTTTTCTTGAGCTATTTCAACTGCTTGTTGAATATTTTTCATTGCCATACTGTATTTTTGTGTAGCCAAATATAATTTTGCCATATTATGATATACAACAGCTAAATCAGGATGATTTTTTGGTAATTTCTTTTCACGTATTTCTAATCCTTTTTCGAAATATGTCAATGCTTTTGAATAATCTTTCATTTCACGATAAGTTTCACCTAAATTTATATATGTCGTTGCACATTCCAGAGGATTACATTGAACATTCTCTTGAATATTTAATGCTTTTTGATGAAATGCAAGTGCCTTTTCATAATTACCCATTAATCGATGAACATCACCAATATTACTATATGTAATAGCTCGATTGGGATGTCTTTCAGGTAACGTTTTTTGAACTATTGTGAGACACTTTTCGAAATTATCAAGTGCTTTTGAATAATCTTTCATACTGCGATAAACTCTTCCTAACCTGCTATATGTAAAAGAAAACGCTGGATTACCTTCTTGAAATGCTTGTTGTTGAATTTTAAAAGCACTTCGAAGAGCCTTAAGAGCTGCGGCGTAATCACCCATTCGTTCGTAACATGCTGCAAAAGCCAAGTGACTATCAGCCAAATCGGGATGATTCGGAGGCAGAGCTTTTTCTTTTATTTTATGTGCTCTTTCGTAAAATTCAAGTGCTTTCGAGTAGTCACCCATGTTATTATACACTTGACCGATGCAAGTATAGGAAGTAGCCAAATGGGGATGATTCGGAGGCAGAGCTTTTTTCTTGATTTCGAGATCTTTTTCGTAAAATTCAAGTGCTTTCGAGTAGTCACCCATGTTGTTATACACTTGACCGATGTTGTTATAGGAAGTAGCCAATGAGGGATGATTCGAAGGCAGAGCTTTTTCTTTTATTTTATGTGATTTTTCGTAAAATTCAAGTGCTTTCGAGTAGTCACCCATGTTGTTATACACTTGACCAATGTTGTCGTATGTAGGAGCCAACGAAGGATGATCTTCCGGGACACTTTCCCGACAGATTTTGAGGGATTTCTCGAGAAATGACGCTGCCTCTGTGTATTCTCCTCGGTCCCGTTTCACCCATGCAAACTGATTATAGATCAATGCTTTATCACTGTCGTTGGATGTCTGTTCTAGTAGTGCCGTATATAATTCTTCAGCCTTGTCAAATTGACCAATTTTGAGCAGCAATTTGCCCATTCGATACCATCCAGTGCCACCCGAAGATTCTTCTCGTATACGATTGGTTAATTGACGAAGTTGTTGGTCATCATCCGACGTAAGTTTGAGTTCCACTTCATAATGTGGACTTTTCTTATCAATTTTTCGAACTTCACCAATTCGAAAGACGGTATGCATCGAGAAGAGAATTTCCTCTTCTTGTGCGAAATCACTAACCTCCTTGATGGAGGCAAAAGGAGTCGATGAGACCATGGGATCGATGGTCATTTGAAAGAGGATACCAACCATATCGGTTGCTCCTAAGGTGCCTTCGGCAAAAGCGAAGGAGACATCACGATCTGTGCTGGTGGATAGAAAATTATTGAAAGATATGAGCCCACCTTTGTTTTTTGCTAGTTTTTCGAAGTCACCTGTTGATAATCCTTGGCCCCTATAAATTATAAAGGACTTTCCATGATACAGACTGACCTGTTGGCTGTGTAATTCTTCAATTTGTCGATGAACATCACACAGGAAAAATCCCATTCGGATGATAATGTCACCATCTAATATTCGTAATGCTCGATTGAGCATTTTGTATGTAAAACATTGGCGGGTATACCACCAAATGGCTTTTGATGGACGATAAGTATGTTGAAATTCTTGAATATATTTGAGCTCTGCTGGATTGTCTTTATATTGTTCTTGGCAGAAGGTGACCAAATCTTTTATGGCTTCTTGGCCATGTTCCATATCAAGGAGTATTTCCTTGAATATTTGGGTATACATGAAGGAAGGCTCTAGCTGATTGAGATCTTCGCTAGAACCTTCTTCATTGACACCGATAATACTGATTGTTACTTGATCTTGATTGCATTGTTTGACAGCTAGTGCCAGTTTTTCACAGATGTGCTTGATCGATGTATGCACACCTTTAATTTTGGGCCAATTTTTAGCCCATTCTTGGTGACGTTGCTTGTTGGCACAAAAGATGTATATGGCATCCAGTTTTGGCATGCCATGAATTTCTGGTACCAGGTGTTGATCTAATGCACCTGAGGAGATGACAAATGATGTCTCCTCATTGTTTTCCTGGAGTTTCTGAATACATTGTTCAGCCGTGGTGCACGGATTAACTTCATTAACAACGCCGCGCAATTGCGCGAGTGTATTCTGGCAATCTTCATTTGCTATGTCAATAGCACCATCGACCCAGATGACCAGGTAATTTTCAGCCATTCGTGGCCGTCGTTTTCTACTCATTTTCGATGTTGTTTTGACGTTTGCTCCACGATTGAATATTGTGAAGGATCAATTGTTGTTTAAATAGAGACCACTGTTTTCTATTTATATATTCGATATTGGATGTTTTTTTTTCTAGATTATTCTACGACGTCAAATATGAAATATAATATACTATACTGGACAAAATTGTTTGAACGATTTTGTTTTGCGTATAACTATCTTATAAAGTTAGC